GACACGAGTGGCAAGCGGAGAAGGAAAGCCGGGGCTCCCTGACCCGGCTGGGGGCCGCCACCGGGCTTCGGTGGTACCGGAATAAGCATGCACCCCGAGCCCTCGGAGCCCGCCGCGGGCCGGGCAGCGGAGCTGGACAGCGCGCAGGAGCCCGGCGCCGGCGAGTCCGCGGGTGACCGCGCGAGCGAGAGCCAAGGGCGCCGCAAGGAAGGTGCGGGGAGGGCGAGGGAGGTGCGGGCCCGGCCCGGTGGGCACTGCGCTCCTGCCAACCCGCATGCCCCATCTTCACAGCACGTGACAGCAGCAGTGATAGTAGCGCCGACACTTCCGTGACACAGACGTGCAGAGCGCCTCCTGCGTGTGAGCCGCCCGCAGCCCTGGGCAGCAGGTCTCCTGCCCCGGTTTACACGGCCGAGCTCACAGTCACTCCAAGCCAGTCACTGGCTGCCCAGAGACGCAGACCCGGACAGTCTGGCTCCCGAGCCCAAGCCCTTGCCCTGCACAGCACTCTTGCCTCTTCTAACGTGTCTGCGTTAATTCTTTGCAGCTTTCGCCCTCTGAGATCAAAGGTTTGCCCCCTCCTGCCCCCCAGACTGCAAGCTTGGCAGGCAGGACCCCCTGACGGAACTTCCAGTGTCGACATGTGGTAGAGCCTGACTGAAGAGTCGGTGGTCCTGGGGTCCGTGTCCGACCCTCTGCCCCGGCTTCTTGGAATGGGCCTGAAAGGCCTGAGCCTCTGCCCGCACTCAGCCTGGGGCCCTAAGGGAGGCGTATTATGACTCGATAAAGAAACCAGTTGATTTGTGTTTCTTTTTTTGAACCAACATACATCAACTTAAGCATCAACTGTCCATGCAAACCCTGCATGAGCAGCTGTGGGAACTGATATTTTCTTATACTTATTTAATTACTATTTATAGTACAGAAAGAAAGAGACAAAGCACCCGTGTGGATAGGGTCATGCTCCAGGACTTTTTTTTTCCATTTCTCCTTCTGGTCAGGATTGTGGGCGCGCGGGCACACAGGTCCAGCACGGCCTTTAGGCTGCGGGGACAGCTGGCCCTGGGGGCTCTGATGTCCAGGCGCAGGGCTTACCTACGGACACAGGGTTTGGAGCCAGGCCTGTTGGGTTCACTTGCAGCTCGGCTGCTCACCAGCCTTATGGCTCCTGGTCTGCAACTTACCCTCTCTGAGCCTTGGTCTCCTCATCCGTAGGCAGGGATAATTATACAGGGATATACAGAGACCATTATAATTAAAATTGCTGACACAGAGTGGGCCATTAATAAATGGTAGCTCTTGCTATGAATATCGTCAGTTTTATATAGTGAGCACCTATTCTTTATTCCACAGACATTTATCTGGTAGCTCTAGGAACTGGACAGACACACAGTGGGAAACTGACGACTGTGAGACACATTCCTCTTGCTCAGAGACCGCTGAGCACACGAAAAGCAGACCCGACGGCCGTTTGAATGTGCTCATTTTTATTTGCCAGAAATATTATCATTTTCCGTTTCTTTTCCTGTGGTTTTGCATTTGAGAAAAAATTTAAAGTTAAAAAGAACAGAGAGGGGTTGGCAGGTAGCATGGTGGTTAAGGGTGCTGGACTCACACATGGCTGACCGAGGTTCAAGTCCTGGACCTGGCAGCTTGCCTTCTCACTTTCCTTCTCTCTCTCTCACTCTGTCCCTCTCTTATCAAATTAAAAATAAATAAAGTTTAAAAAAAGAATTTAAAAAAATAAACAAAGAACACTATAACAAACACCCATGTGTTGCCTCCCATAACGAAAAATTATTAATATTTTATCATTATTACTTGAAGTCTTTTTTTTATTGAAGAAAACCTTTCACTAAAGTTAATTTAAAAAGTAAACCTTTTCACATAGTGTGTACGGGTTTTTTTCAGTCATCTCCACACATGTACATCCTTGAACAAGGCATAGCGTTGGTTTGCATGTCCTTAATTTATCTACAGAATCTTCTCCTTACTATGGCACGTGCTTCGTTCACTCCCTGGGTGTTGCTGAGACTAATCCGTACTGTTGGATGGCGTGCTAAGACATTTTCCCCAAGGCAGAGAAGTAATCCATTGTTTTATTTAACCAGTCCCTATGGATAGATTTGTCTTGATGACAGTTTGGGCTGTTATAAACAATGCAGAGACAAGTATCTGCATACACATTTCCTTGTGCACCCATATAAGAGTGTTTGTTTAAGCCAGAGTCTGTCACGATCTGTCTCGGCCTCCTGCTGGGAGTCCAGGTGTCGGCCTTGACCAGCGTTTCCGCAGAGGGCCTGTCCAGAAGTGAAATTTACCTAAGGTTTTGCTGTCATTTTAAAAAATGTGATATGTTTAAAGAATACCAACGTTTCAACACTAAAAATAGACAGCTATTAATCAGCTTGAAATTGGGGGCAAGTTCGGTACCAGCAGTTAGCATAATGGCTATATCGCTGGAGTCCCGTGTAGTTGACCGCTGTTTGAGTCCCAGACCCGGTGGCTTAAACTCATGCTGGCCACGTGTGTGTGCGTGCCCAAGACCCAGAGAGGAGAATGGAGGAGAAGGGATTGCAGCATGGCCATCCGCCCCCCTGGGAGGTGATTTCTCACTTTCTGTCTCTCTGTCTCTTTCTGTCTCTCTGGCAAGCACATGCTCCCTATAGCACAAAAACCTCTCAAAAAAAAAAAAAAAAAAGAAAAGAAACAAATCGGGGGCCTGTTTTCATACATTTCTTGACCACATAGACATGGTCTCTCTTGTTTTACAGAAACTAATGATCCTAAGGAAATGTGTACGGGTCCTTCTGACACATCCTACCAAAGCCAGCAGAAACAGAGTGGTGACAGCGGGTCGGACAGTCACCTGGCACACCCAAGCAATGACAGGGAAGACGGGGGTCCCAGGTATGTGGGCATGCTGCTGACAGTGCACATTCCAGAGGAGAGGTGAAGGTGTGATCACTCCCTGTGCAGACAAGAAAATGGCTCGTGGGGGTGGAGCAGCCAGCCCAGTGTCCCCCTGGAGAGTTGTTAAGCAGCATAATCAGGGTGGCTGCCTCAGTGGCATTGCTGCCCACACTCTGTTAAACTCATGCCAGATCTGGAGAGAGGAACATCAGTATTTCTTGATGACACTCTTAGAAGTATTTTTAGTAGAACATACACTGCAATTTTTAAGAATGCTGAAAGTGATGAATATTAGATGTGGCCCTAAAAGCCGGAAGGATGGAAGGAAGGAATGGAGGGAGGGAGGAAGGGCAGAAGAGAGGGAGAGAGGGAAGGGTGAGCCTAACACAGGTGCCTTATAAGGCATATGGGATATTGCAGAGTCGGGAGCGAGAAAAGCTGTGTTAAAGAACTTTCAGAATATATCTACATCGGACAAATTGAAATAAATATCTCGGTCATGATTTTAATTTTAACAGAATGACTAGAAGTTTCCTGCGAAAACTCTGCAAGCAGCACAAGCTTTACGTCACCCCATCATTGAACGATACGCTGTACTTACACTTTAAAGGTAAGGCCCAGGAGAGGACCCGGGTTGCGCTGGCAGGGATCATCTTCAGTTCACAGATCGTAACTGTATAAGTGTTACGTGTGGAAAGGGATAGAGAAAAATGAAAGCAGATTGATTACTGGGTTGGCAGAACCATGGGTACATTTTCTTTTTATTTTGCCCACCATTAACATGAGAAGTTTTAATCAAAACTTTTAGACAGCAAAATAATTTCATTTTTTACTTGCCAGAGGGTGCATGTGCTCGCCAGAGACAGAGAGAGAGAGAGAGAAACCACCCTCCAATGGGGTGCAGTCATGCCACAATTCCTTCTCTGTTGGGATTTGGAGCACGCATGCACATGCACCCAGCATGTTTTTCAAGCTGTGGGGTCCAAGATCCAAACCACGTTGTTATCTATGTGGGATCCAATTATTAGAACATGGGGCCACCCAAAATAAATAACTTCTAACTTAGTAATAGATTAGTCATGAATTACAAATTGCTGATGATTTACAAAAGGCCTAAAAATATTTGCTTCCTACTAAAAGTGTGTGTGTGTGTGTGTGTGTGTGTGTATTTTTCTAACCTTCAACTTAGCTCACGACTTAGCTCTGGGAACTAGAACAATAAGGCCCACGGTTTGCACTAGTTTTAGGTTTGGCTAAATCCCAGTGGATATAGTTTTTCTCTGCTGAGATTGTCCCACTTCTTTTCTTGTCCCTGCTTTCCTCGGTACTGGTTCATTTTCAGGGCAGGTTCACCCCTCACTCTCTACCTCCTAGCGGAGCTGGGAAGGTGGCTGCTTGAGCCCCAGGCCACACCCGCAGAAAGACCACCTCTTCCCAGAGAGGCAGCAGAACTCTTCAGGACTCCTGGGAGTTGACCCTCCTGGTGAAGGGTGCTCAGCCCCAGAGGAATCAGTGTGACGCTACCTGGCCACCCAGGGAGCCACCAGGCAGTATCAGAGAGGGCTGATTCTTCGAAGAGAAGCTGTGCTAGAGGAAGGAGGGGTGCTAGGTGTCTAAGCGTCTTAGTCTAGGCTCATAAACAGCAGGAACTCGTCGCTCAGTTCTGGAGGCTGGAATCTGAGATTCCAGCGCCTGCAGGTTCGTGTCCGGTGAAAGCCTCACAGATGCCTCTTCCCATGGAGGACAGGAAAGGGACTAATAGTTCCCTCAGACCTCTTTTTATTATTATTATTAAATGTGCCAGAGGGTGTGTGCACTCACTGGAGAGAGACAGAGACAGGGTGGGAGGGGCAGAAAGCAAGAAAGTACCTCCCATGGGGGACAGTCACACCACAATCCCTCCTCCATTTCTGCCTCCTTTTTGGGATTTTGGGCATTCACATTCAACTGCCAGCACGCTCCTTAAGCCACTGGGTCCAGAACTCTAACTACGCGGTCAGCCATGTGGGATCCAGCCACTTTAACCACCAGGCCATGGGCTGGCCCCGTTACTGCATTTTTAGCCCAAGGGCATGTATGTGCATGGAGGAGGAAGCACCCCCCATGGGCGGTCATCTCATGTTTCTTTTTCCTCCAATACTCTCTTCGTGCACACACATGCCTGGCATATTTTTCAAGTGTATGGACCCAGATCGAACCCCCGTCAGCCATGTGGTCACCTAATGATTATACTATGGGGTCGGTTCACAGGCCTATTTATTTCTTTTACAATTATTTTATTTAACTTATTTATTTTTTCATTTGACCAGAGAAGGATAGAGTAAGAGCGAGTGAAAACGAGAGAGAGAACGAGAGAGAGAATGCCAGGTCCAAGACTCAAACTGCGGTTGGCTATGTGGGAGTCCAGCACCATTAACTCCCACGCCACCTGCTGGCCCCCAGGCCTCTTTACTAAAAGCACTAATCGCATTTATGAGGACTCTGCCTTCCTGATCACCTCCCAAAGGTCCCACCTCCAAATACTGTCACAATAGAGATTAGGTTTCAACGCACAATTTCGGGGAAATGGATATTCAGTCCAGAGCAGAGAACAAAATGAGAGTGACTGTGAGCCTCTGCCCTTACGGTGTGAGTGGCGCTGAATCAGCCCGCTTCCCCCTCGCCAGGTTTTGATCGCATCGAGAACCTAGAGGAGTACACGGGACTGCGCTGCCTCTGGTTGGAGTGCAATGGGATCCAGAAAATCGAGAACCTGGGGGCTCTGACGGAGCTGCGGTGCCTCTTCTTACAAGTGAACTTGCTTCACAAAATCGAGAACCTAGAACCTCTGCAGAAACTGGATGCTCTAAACCTCAGCAATAATTACATCAAGACCATCGAAAACCTCTGTAAGGGCATGCAGCCCGCAGTCTTCCCATATGCCCCGGGTCCATCCCTTTCCCAGGGGAGGTGCTGGCGTTTTGTACTGGGGTGAGAAATGCTTTTCGGCTTTGTTGTCACCTCTGCTGACCTCACCTTCCAGCCTGCCTCCCGGTCCTGAACACACTGCAGATGGCCCACAACCACCTGGAGACCGTGGAGGACATTGAACATCTGAGGGAGTGCTCAAGACTTTGCGTCCTGGACCTTTCCCACAATAAGCTGAGCGACCCAGAGATGCTGCGTGTTCTTGAGAGCATGCCTGACTTGGTAAAACAGCCCGAAAGAGAAATACTGCCCAAACCGACTTGCAATATTCTGTGTTCCTTAGCTATATCCCTTCCCCCAGCCCCCTTCCTTCACACTTTTTTCCTCTTTGCATTTTTATTTTATTTTACTTTATTTTTTAGAGGTTTTTGCTGTAGGGCGTGTGCACTTGCCAGAGAAACAGAGAGAGACAGAGAGACAGAAAGTGAGAAATCACCCCCCAGGGGGGATAGCCATGGATGAGTAAGGAAAAAGAGTGTCGATGTGAAGACAAACAGTAATCAAATGACGGCAGTCAGGGCTAGCCGCAGCATGGACTGTCAAGGACTAGTTCAGAACTGCCACATGCCGAGGGTATAAAGCTCTCTCTCCTCTCTCTCTCTATATATATATATATTGGCTAGGGCTGCATAACAGAGTCCCCACAGAGACTGGGGGCTTGAACGGCAGACATGCTTCTGACCTCTTCATTCTGGAGGCCTGAGGTCTGAGGTACAGGTACTGGAAGGCGTGGCTTAGTTGAGACCTCTTTTCTGGGCTGGCAGATGGCTGCCTTTTGCATGTGCTGTAGAGGGCACATGAGCTCCCCAAAGAGAGACTGAGACAGCGGGAGAGGGAGGAGACGGTGCCCCTTTGTGGGCCACAGTCCCTTCTCATCTCTCCATCATTTGGGGACTTTGGATACACACACACACACACGTACCTGGCATGTTTCTCAAGCCACCAGGTGTGGGACTCGAATCATATAGTCGGTCTTGTGGGATCCAGCTACTTTAACCACCATGCCATGAAGCTGGCCTGATGACTGTCTTCTTTTTAAAAAATTCTGTGATTATTACTGTAATCTCTTTTTTAAAAAATTTATTGATCACCTTTGCAAGAGAGGGAGACCCCTCCCCCCACAACAGAGCCTTCACGTTGCTATCCACACCCAGCCCTGGTTAACCCAAGTCAAACACGCAACACGCTCAGGGAGGTCACAGGCCCTGAACCCAAGGCCCTTCCCACAAGGGCCTAGTTGTGTTACACTGCGCCACCACGTCGCTGCCTTCACGTGGTGCCTCCTCTGTGCTGTGCGTGTCTGTGTCCTGACCTCACCTCCTCAGAAGGACACCAGTCTCACGGGATTAGGAGCCACCGCGAGGAGCTCGTTTTAACTGAATTACGTCTTGAATTAACACGTCTCCAAATGCGGTCAGATGCTGAGGCAGGGTGGTTCGGACTTCCCCGTGTAAATCCTGGAGTACGCAATCCAGAATAAAGCAGCCTGCCACACGGTGTACCCCTGACTCGCTGTTCCTGGGGCTTGTGGCCCCCTCTTTTCCCTGCAGGATAAGTCCCTCAAAAATTTGGCAGGAATGGTGAACTGTGCCAGAACGAAGCTTGGGAAATACTCACCTAACTGGTTTACAGTATGTTTGTCTTCTCCAACCACGGAAACCACTCTAGATAGGAAAAACACTTGATCAACTTACACAGACAGATGTTAAAGGGGTCCCCGCCGCTCACCTTAACCATTCACCTTCCGTAGGCTTCTTCAGGCAGGCACAGAGGTGACAGGTGATGTTTGAAGGGGGGAGGCTGCTCTATTGTGGCTGAGCACCTTCCAGCTTCCCTGTGAGCCCAGCAGGAAGGCCCTCCTGCCTCCTGGCGCTCCCCGCAGAGAAGCTGGCACTCGTCCCTTCTCTGAAGACCGCTCCTCTCCTGTCTGGCCGCTGGGCAGGTTTTCTTAAATGGGGCCTGACTGGGAAGGAGAGAAAACCATCAATTAGACTGAGACGAATTTCAGCGGGAGAGATTGGGTAGCAAAAGTAACACAATCGCAGCCCTTGGAAAAGGCCTCGGGAGTTGTTCTCCAGCACTGCTGGTCAAGTAGAGGAGAGGGCTGCTTAATCCCCAGATGGAACCAGCGCCTTCCGCTTCTCCCAGCACAGCCCGGGCCTGCCGTCGGCACTGCCAGTCTGCTCAGTAAAATAGCTGGTGTTTGCTTATTCTTAGAGCACAGTACATACAAAATAATCATATATATATATTTCAGTAATCAGTTTGGTTCTGCTTGTCCATTTACAGCGTGTTCTAAATCTGATGGGAAACCCAGTTATTAAACACATTCCTAATTACCGAAGGACAGTCACTGTTCGACTGAAACACCTAACATACCTGGATGATAGACCGGTTTTCCCAAAGGACAGGTAAGAAGAGAAAACCCTTTCAATTGGGACCAGCAGATGGCATAATGGTTACATCACTGGACTCCCACATAGTAGACCGTGGTTCGGGTTCCAGACCCAGCGGCTTAAAATTCACACTGGTGCATGTGTGTCGTGTGTGTGTTATCTTGTGTGTCCCAGATCCCAAGAGGAGACTGGAGGAGGAGGGATTTCGGTGTGGCCATTCCCCTGGGGGATAATTTCTCCCTTTCTGTCTCTCTGACAAGAGCACACACCCTATAGCAAAAATTTCTTTCAAAAAAAAAGAGAAAATTTCCTTTCGATCATGTCTTAATATTTAATAGTTGAACATGCTTGATATTAAATTTTATGTAAAATTTCTGACTTTTGAGCATTTTCACACATATTAAATGTTCTTTGGAAATATGTTTAATGGTACATAATTGTCTAAAAAGGAATTTAAGTACCTATGCATAAATTGTGTATGCCTTTAACAAACATCCTTACATGTAAGTCTTTGACCTCATTGTGAAGGAATTCTGTGGGACAGCAGCACTAGATTAAAGAATGTGGTTTGAGGTTTTTTTAAGCTCTTATGTATATTTTCTAAATGTTGACCAGGAAGTTTGTACTGATTACCTGACATGGCCTTACCTGACAGGGACATGTGAAAGAAATCTTTGCCAACTTTACCCACAGGTAAAGGTAGTATCCTTTAAAAAAAAATAATTGTACTACAAAAAAATTGTATTTTTTTTTTTGAGAGATTTTCACTGTAGGGCGCGTGCGCTCGCCAGACAGACAGAGAGAGACATAGAGACAGAAAGCGAGAAATCACCTCCCAGGGGGGATGGTCACGCCGCAATCCCTTCTCCTCCATTCTCCTCTCGGGATCTTGGGTACGCACGCACACGCACCCGGCGTGAGTTTTAAGCCACCGGGTCCGGGACGCGAACCACGGTCGACTACGTGGGAGTCCAGCTACATAGCCATTACGCTAACTGCTGGTTCCCAAAAAAATTGTATTTTTGGATAACTGATGAGTTGGACATTTTTTCCATCTTCCCTGGACATTCAGATTTTTTCCCTGTATGAACGTTCTTTTATTTGTGTTGTTATGTCAGGGTCGTCCTGAGTAGCTGGCACTAAGGTGCACTTGGCTTTCAGGGTAGCTTCTACACGGCCCTCGCCTGCCGCCTGCCGCCTGCCGAGGGCAGGTCGCCCTGGGGCTGCAGCTGGGCTGCTCTGTGAGCGTTCTGTTACAACGTCTTCCCCTTTCCCCTCCAGTGCTCATTCTTATTACTTTGTAAAAGCTTTTTTATGCCAGGAAAGCTGTGCCCTGGACCACTAAGTTTACTGTCACTTTTTACTTTTGTCTGTGTTTTAAATTTGCCTTTTCATTTCAGACCTATTCATCTAACTTAGAATACAATTTCATTAATACGAACTGCTTGAAGGGAAGTACAACCCAAATGTTGAATTATACAATATTTAAGAAAAAATATCATGTGCAATATGTTTTTGAACTCACAAATACATATTATGAAAAAACTGTGCATGGGGCCAGTGGGGGTATGGTGGTTACGGTGCTGGATCCCACATGGCCAGCTGTGCAGTTCGAACCCCATATCCAGCAGCTTGAAGACCATAGTGGGTGTGTGTGCATGCATGCCGCAAAGCCTGAAATGAAGGAGAAATAGAGAAGGGATTGCAGCATGACCATTGCCTATGGTGGGTGCTTTCTTCTTCACCCCTTTCTCTTGCCTCTCCAGCAAACGTGCACACCCTCTGGCGCGTGCACACACACACACAAACACACACAAAGGTTTTAATTCATTTGAGTAAATACTTAGGGGAATGGGACCGGCAGTTGGCATAATGGCTATGTCGCTGGACTCCCACATGGTCGACCGCGGTTTGAGTCCCGGACCCGGTGGCTTAAACTCACACCGGGCGCATGTGCATGCGTGCCCAAGATCCTGAGAGGAGAATGGAAGAGAAGGGATTGTGGCATGGCCATCCCCCCTGGGGGGTGATTTCTCACTTTCTGTCTGTCTGTCTGTCTCTGTCAGCAAGCACATGCGCTCTATAGCAAAAACTTCTCCGAAAACTACTTAGGGAAACAACCTCTGGGTGGTGTGATTGAGTAGATATAGTTTTATAAGAAGCTGCCATGCTGTCGTTCGTGTCACTTTTCACCCCACCAGTGATGAAGGCGAGTAACTGATCTTTCTTTCTTTCTTTTTTTTTTTCAAGCCGATAAAAGCTTATTTTATTTAAATAATGATCTGAGTAACTGCCAGTGCCACTATGGACAGACGACGGTCGGGGAGCTTTGTTTCTTGGTCTCTTCCTCCTTGGACAAAGTCTTGATGAGCTCTTCCTTTTCGGCCTGGAGGCGCTCCTCACGGCGCATGCGTGCTTCCTTGGTCTTAGACCTGCGGGCCTCAACCTGGTCTGCCAGGAGCTCCTTGCGGGCCTTGTCTGCCTTCAGCTTGTGGATGTGCTCCATGAGAATCCGCTTGTTCTTGAGCACACTCCCCTTCACCTTCGGGTACAGGCTGTGATACACGTGGCAGTCTATCTTCTTAGACTCCCGGTATCTTCTGAGCAGCCGGCGCAGGATCCTCCTTCTCATCCAGGTCACCTTCTCTGGCATTCTTGCACTGGCTGTCCCCTTTCGCTTACCTGTGCCCATGTGCCTGCCCTTCTGGCTGGCCAAAATGTTTTTCCGGCATCTGGCTGGGAATGGACAGTCACAGGCTTGTGGACGATCAGCGCACCTTTGATCAGCTTCTGGATCAGCTGGCTGGAGTTGAACTGGCAGTTTCATCGGTCTCATTGGGGTCCAACCAGGCCTTCTTTTTGCCGCAGCGGAGGACATTAGAGGCAAGCCTCTTCTGAAGCCTGAGCATAGGCCTGGGGTATTTCTCATCACCGTCAGCATTTGGTATGGCCAGTCTTTAGATTTCAGTCACTCTAATAGGGTTGGAATGTTACTTTGTCGCTGTGACTTGCAATTCCCTAGTGACACTAGATGTTGTGCATCTTTTCATATGCTTATTTTCAGCTGCATATCTTCTTTGGTGAGTAATCTTGATCTGTTGCCAGATTTTTTTATTGGGTTGTTTTTCTTATTTTTTAATTTTAGCAGTTCTTTGTATAATTTGGATACAAATCCTTTGTCAGTTGTCTTTTTTTTTGCAAATGTTTTCTCCCAGTCTCTGGCTTGTCTTGTCATACGTTAGCCCATTTAAAAATTATGTTGTCTTTTATTAGTGAGTTATAAGTATTGTTTATATTTTTCAGATTCAAGACCTCATCAAATGATTTGCAAATATCTTCTCACATTCTGTGGGTTGTCCTTTTGTTTATAGCACCCTTTGCATTGTAAATGCTTTTCACGTAAATTGAGAATTGTGCAGTTCTCAATTTTTCCTCCATCTCCTGTGCTTCTGCTGCATATCTAAGAAGACTCTGCAAACAAATCGATTTTAAAGATTAAAATATACTCACGTCACCTTTCACCCTTGCGAGCACAGGTCTTACGCGCCCTTGATTTTGAAGAACATGAACAGGCTTTATTGGGTAATATACATTGGAAGTTTACTCTGAACCCGTGACTGCTCAACCCTCCCTTCTTTCTGTTCTCTAACTGTCCTTTACCCAGAGCATGTGCCGAGGCCTGGGCCAGGGGAGGGTATGCTGCCGAGAAGGAGGAGAGACAGCTGTGGGAGAGCCGGGAGCAGAAGAAGATCACCGACAGCATCGAAGCCTTGGCAATGATCAAGAAGCGGGCTGAAGAGAGGCGGCGGCAGAAAGAAGCCCAGGAGCGAGGTGGGCGCTCCAGACCGAAGGCGGCACCTGGGATCCCCTTTGTTAGGCGAGTCCAGGCTGTTGAGCTCCCAGTCTTCAGTCTCTTGGAGTTTTCCTTAACAGCCCCGTACCCGCAGATCAGCTTCAGCGCCCCCCCCCCCCCTGCAGGCCAGCGGAACCTCCCGGCACACTGGGAGGTTCTTCCTACTGTGCTCCAGTCACCAACGTGCCGTGCCGGCTCTCTGCCACCTCTGGGTGTCCTGCAGTCCTGCTATGAGATCAGACCCCACAGGCCAAGAGCAGATGCCAGTTGCAAGTCCCAGGTGTCACCTATGTTCTGACCTCCGATTAAGTTGGGGTTCCTGTGAGCTCCTCACCGGGTTCAGTAAAAGTGGCTCACGGAATCCGGAGAGGCGGCGACATGCATCTTCCAGTCGCTGTGCTAATAAAGAGTATGATAAAGGGTGCGGATAGAGCAGCTGAAGGCGAGGTCTGTGCGAGGGGTGCAGGGCTTCCATGTGCCCACTGGGAGCCCCGCATGTCTAGCAACCCAGAGCTCCAAATCCTGTAATGGAGTGATTTCTAGGGGCTGCATCATAGAAGCACGATAGGTTATTAACTCCATTCCCATCCCCTCTTCCCTCTGGGAAAGTTTTGAGCTTCTTTTTTCCTTTTTTAAGAGAGATTTTTTTGCGGTAGGGTACATGTGCTCACCAGAGAGACATAGACAGAAAGTGAGAAATCATCCCCGGGGGGATGAACATGCCACAGCCTCTTCTCCTCCTCCGTTCTCTTCTTGGGATTTTGGGCATGCACACACACATGCGGCATGAGTTCTAAGCTGCCCAGTCAAACCATGGTGGACTACATGGATCCAGCAACATAACCATTATGCTATCTGCTGGTCCCAGTTTCGAGCCTCTAACCATGGCTCGTTCTTTTCAGTAGCCGGCACCCATCCAGGAGCCACCAAGAGTTGCCTCATTAGAACCAAAGGTGTTCCCGTCATCCAGGGGGTCACAAAGGCCTTAGGGGCTCTGTGTCAGGACCTGGGGTCAAAGACCAACATCAGAAATGTATGAAGGAGTGAAGTGACTTCTTACTGCTTCACAGCTGCCACAAGTCAGCACAACGTTAGCAGCTATGCAATGTCTTTGTAATAGTCCGGAGGTCAGAAGCCTGAAATACGGCTCACTGGGCGAAAACCAAGGTGTCGCGGGATTATGTTCCTCCTAGAGAGCCCACTGCTCGCCTTTGCCAGCTTCTGCAGGCCGCCCGCCTCCTCAGCTCCAGGCCCCTTCCTCCCTCTTGGGGGCCAGCAGCGTAGCGTCATCTTCAAAGCCCTCTCTGCCTCTGCCTCTCCCACAGGCCGTCCAGGGCACTGTCCCCATTTCAAGGTTCCTATTGTCAGTCCCACCTGCGGAGTGTGTCTGTCCACCTGAGGTAACACAAGGACAGGGTCTAGGGTTAGGGCGCAGCCCCGGTGCTCCGGCGTGCATCTCCGGGGAACCTCTCCCGATGTTTTCTCGGAGCCACTCAGTGGAGGTGCCTGGCAGTCCTGTCTCGCAGACAGATGGTCAATGACACCTGGGTGGGCGTCCCCGGCAGACCTTTCTTTAGCTGCGTCCTGTGCTCATCCCCGACGTTCACAGACGCACGGGCGCCCTTGTCCTCCCGGCGGCCACGAGCTCCCCTTTGGACTTCCCGTGTTTAGGGGAGACGCTGCCGCCAGACTGCGGGGAGCATGTGAGTGCCAGCACGGCAGGCAAGGGACAGCCCCCCGGAGGCGAGGGCGAGGACCAGGGAGAGGACACGCGGCAGAAAACGGAGCTGTTTGTCAAGGAGAGCTTCGAGGCCAAGGATGAGCTGTTCCCAGAAGAGCTGAGAGGAGAAGAAGAGCTGCCTGCCAAGCAGCGTGGAGAGACCGAGCAGCGTGGTGAGACAGAGGAGCGTGCAGAGACAGAGGAGCGTGGAGAGACAGAGGAGCGTGCAGAGACAGAGGAGCGTGGAGAGACCGAGCAGCGTGGAGAGACAGAGGAGCGTGGAGAGACAGAGGAGCGTGCAGAGACAGAGGAGCGTGGAGAGACAGAGGAGCGTGGAGAGACAGAGGAGCGTGGAGAGACAGAGGAGCGTGGAGAGACCGAGCAGCGTGGAGAGACAGAGGATCTGGAGCCAGGGTACCTGCCCCCAGTTGAGACTGTGATGTCGCTGCCTTTCACAGACACCGGAGACAGTAAGACCTGGGCCTGGGCCTCACTTCTCCCTTCATTCATTCATTTAGAGACAGAAAGCGAGAAATCACCTCCCGGGGGATGGCCACACCACAATCCCTTCTCCATTCTCCTCTCAGGATCTTAGGCATGCACGCACACGTGCCCAGCATGAGTTTAAGCCACCGAGTCTGGGACTCAAACCACCGTCGACTACATGGGAGTCCAGTGACATAGCCATTACGCTAACTGCTTGTCTCACTTCCTTTATTTTTTAATTTTATTTTTTGCCAGAGGGTTTGTACAGTCACCAAAGAGAGACAGGGAGACAGGGAGAAAGCACCTCGTGGGGTGTGGTCCCGCTGTCACCCTTTCTCCGGCTTTTCTCCATCCTGTTGTGACTTTGGCCGTGCACGTGAACTAGGCATGCTTTTCAGGCCAACAGAGCCAGGACTCAAACCCTGTGGCCGGCCCTGTGGGATCCAGCTCCCTGAACCACCGGGCCACGGGGCTGGCGGGAGCCCACTTCTCACTTCTTTATTGCTGTTTCTAGAAGATGAAGTCCAGGATGCCTTGTTGCCAAGGGCAGCGCTAGTCGATAGAAGCCTAAGGGAGCGTCACAGTAGGTCATCGGGACAGCCTTGCTGTATCTTTCTGTTTCTCTGTGAAGAGATGCATCATGGCTTTTCTGACAACTCATACATTTTCTAGGAGCCACATTCTAAAAAGTGAACAGAAACAGGAACAACTTCTCAGAAGGTAGTAGAGAGTAGTTACCCATTTACTCTAAACTATGATCATTCAGCATTGAATCAGTATAAAAACTGTTGAGATGTTTTGCATTGTTAAAGTTGTCAGAAGTTATCCAAATCTGGGGTGTGGGTCTGACACAGCACACCTCAACTCAAATGCTGATTTCTCAGCAGCTAAGGGAAATGGAGACCTACGGAAACAAGCCAGTGACCTTACACAGCTTCAGTTTTACCATTTAACTTACAGTTGAGGGGCCGGCAGTTACATGGTGGTTAAGGTGTGCTGGACTCCCTCATGGCTGACTGCGGTTTGAGTCCTAGACCTGGCAGGCTGCTTTCTCACTCCCCCGCCCAAGTAATTGTAAAAAAATTACGATTGAAAGTGAGAATAATGAAATATAATTAGAAATTTACACAGCCCCAGTTGGAATGTTCAGCAGCCTTAGCGACTGTGGCTACAGCAGCAGGTGAAGTGGATCGAGAGAGGAGGCCCTGCGCAGGTACCAGCCATCCCTCGGGTCCTGCTGCTGGCATGGCTGTGGCTGGGGGATGTTCCAGTCCTCAGGGCCTCGGGTTATGGGAACGTTCTGGGCCAACCTGAGCAGGCTTTGAGGCCTGTTAAGGAAGATTAGCTAGACTGGCCCAGAATGAAAGTCCCATAGTGTGGGACGGACCCAGAGGTGACAGTGTTCCAGACTGCTGAGGAGACCAGTCACCGAGCAAGGCCTTGGGGGCTGGGTGGCTGAGCTTTCCAGCTAAGGGCCCGGAGACGGCGGGCTGTGCTCTACAGTGAGCCCCGCCGAGCCCCTAAGTACTCAGTGCTCTTTTCTCTGGGTGCGTTAGTACCTCCCTCATGCTCGGGACTACTGAAAATGTCTCGTGGTCTGGGTCTTTTACAAAACGTAGTGAGAAATCAGAGTGCACATGTGGGAGGGGACACGTGATGGAGCCCCCAGCAGGAGCTCGGATGGGTCCCAGCCCGCCTGAGCGCTGGCAGGCCACAGTCTCCAGGGACTCTGCCAGGTGGGGCCGCAGGTAGGGAGGGAAGCAGGAGGACCAGGGAAGGATGTGAGTGGAAGAGTGGTGGGGAGAGCCTCAGTGCTTCTGAACAACCCCGGGCACCAAAAAGAGAAAACTGCCCTCTGGGAAGCCCTCTCCGAAGCCCGGCTCCCGGCTGTTCAGGTCAGTCGCAGCTCCCCACGGACCATGGTCTGAGGGCACTGGGTTTGGGGTCTTTCTGCCGACACGGCTTGCTTGGGTTTAATTTCCCTCCCTAGCTTGTGACCTCATTCTGCCAGACTGGATCTCAGCCCTCCGGGGCCTGACCGTCCCTTGGCTTTGGGGATGAACTCTTCTGCCAAGAGAGGGCTATATTTTCCGAAGCCTTCCACAGATGAGAGTGCCATGGGCTGTTATTTAGAGGTGCAATGTGCCTGTGTTAGCTGTGTGGGGCAAGGACTTTGCAGGTCAAGAAGCAGACCTTCCTGCGCGATCACCCCTCCGTTCTGAAACCGCACCCAGCCTAGCAGCAGTTTGCAGGAATGAAGCAGGCCTTTGCCTTCTGGGCAGGAAAGGGGCAATTTAAAGAGTAGCTGGTTAATTGCAGCTCTGTGGTCAGGAGAGGGAGACATGAGCCCATGGTCTTTTTTTTTTTTTTCTTTTAGAGAGAAGTTTTTGGTATAGGGCGTGTGTGCACACCAGAGAGACAGAGAGACAGAAAGCAAAAAATCGCTCCCCGGGGGATGGCTATGTCACAATCCCTTCTTCTCCATTCTCCTCTCAAGATTTTTGGCACACACACACATGCACCCAGCATGAGTTTTAAGCCGCTGGGTCTGGGACTTGAACCGCAGTAGACTATGTGGGAGTCTAGTGATGTAACCATCACGCCATCTGCTGGTTCCCTAGCCTATGGTCTGTTTAACCCACCTTAGAGAGAGAGCTGAGTGAAGGCCAGAGCATCATGGACTCTCTAAGTTTTAGGTTTCCCAATAACCCTGTGAGGTAGATGTCATTACCACCGCATTTTGTGGAGTTGAAAACAGGCTCAATGAGGTACGAAAACTGCACATTCCAAAGCAACTGTAGGTTAAGCATTGCTAACCCAAACATTCAGAGTCCCAAGTGTTCCAAAATCCAAGAACTTCTGAGTGCTGATTTACCACCACAATGGGAAGCCCACAGTGAGCTCATGCGATAGGTCGCAGCCTTTCGAAATGCTGCGATACAGAACCATGTAAGATCACGTCAGCCCATGTGTGCATCCTGCACAGGACACAAACGAACTTTGTGTTTTGACGTGGTCCCATCCCCAAGCTGCCTCACGATGTCTATGCGAATATCCCAAATCCAACACACTTCCGGTCCCGGCATTTCATAATGCAGGAACTGAGCCCAGATGTGATGGAGGACCAAGCTCAGGCCCAGCGTGCTTCCTGGGTGTTCTCCCTCCTTTACCCTGGGGCCTCCCCATTCGAGTGGCCTTTGCACTCGGCCGGTCCCCAGCTTCTCCTGCCCCTAAGGCTGCCAGGCAGGAAGGGCCTTCCTCTACCTCAGCTATTAGCAACAACCCCAGGAAGTCATGTCGAGACAGAGAGCCACCTGTTGATAAAACTGCTTTTCCATTCACTTTTTTTTTTTAAGGATTATTTATTTATTATTATTATATTTTATCAGAGAGACACAGAGAGGGGGATAGTGAGAGAAAGTCACCAGGTCAGGGACTCCAATCGTGGTCGGCCATGTGGAAGGCCAGCACCCTTACCCCCGACGCACCTGCCAACCCCTCCACGCACCTTTCTTGCATCCATCAGTGACTCTTTCTGTGCAAGTAACAGGCCTTGGTGAAGGCAGGCATGGCCAGAGAGCAACAGGCCCGGCTTTGCTGCGTTCCCCGTGCAAGTTCTCGGAGACCACATTGTGAGGCCAGGAATCAGTGAAGGCTGCCAGAGGAACAGGGTCCGCAGAGATGGCAGAGATGCTGGGACGGCCCTCCCTCTTCTGAGTGCCACCAGGGCAGAGGGAGACCTCGAGTGGGCACGTTCTGGGCGGGACTAGACAGCACTGCCCACCCCTTGGGCCTCTCTCTAGAAGAGCTTTAGCTTCTTCCCAGTAGTCACCAAAGCTGTCTTTAGGATGCTCCAGGTGTTTTGCTGCGACCCGCTGTGTGCAGCGTGGTTTCCAGACAGACACCCGAGTTCAAACTCAAGTCCAATCCCTTAGCTAGCTGAGTGACCTCAGGCACACATGAGACCTCTCTGAGCCAGCTTCCACTCCTGCGCCCTGGACACTGTCCCGAGGTTATGGATCGAATGAGATGATGGAAGCGATGCCCCAGTGGTCCTTAGCTCCCTTCCCATCTCCTCTCCTCCCGCGAGGAGACGGAGCCCAGGCAGGTTCTGGGAGAGCGGAGACACAGCGGCGTGGCTGCTTGACCCTACTCTTGGCTGGGAATGCTGAAGGCTGTGGTGCCACTCATGGGAGAATGGCAGAGGGAGGGCTGGTTAGGGAGGGAAGCCGGGGTCATCGTCATCGCAATATGGAATCGAGAAACCATGGGGACCCGCAAGTGGAGAAGAGCAGCGATGGCCAGGACCTGAGGACGAGGGTCAGGGCAGCAGAGAGGCAGTTGCACAAGTGCTGTCCTGGTCCCCTGCTTCACTGTAACATGGCACTGGCCAGCCTCTTGGTCAGACGGGTCTGTCCTCTCTGGCAGGGTGCATTGAACGTCTGTATGATGACAAAGTCGGGCCTCTGGTCTCAGGACCCAAGGATTCGAGCTTGGGGACCTGGAAGCGGCAGCCTTGGGGAAGGGGGCACATTTCGATTGCATACTCCCCAGGCAACCTCACAGTTACCACGAGGTCTTTGGGAAACTCGTGACATATTTTTCTACGCAAAACGCATCGTGACTTTTCTGACAACTGATCAATCACAGAAGCCCCCAGCCTTTGCGCAGCGGGAGGGGCATGGGCCCTGACGGGGGGACGCTGGTCCAGGGGGTGGTGGGTACACCCTCCCGTGGGCGGGGCGAGGAAGCTTCACGGTCATGCCCGTCTCACCCAGAGCCACAGCGGGGCACACTGCAGAACGCTCCCTCAGCTGTCAGCTGGAGGTCAGCGCGCCCCCCTCCTCCACTGTCTTCCTTTTCCAAGGTTCCCGTTGCGTCTGCACTGAGTCCAGCTGGTGCTTCCGTCTCGCTGGATTTGCTGCAAAAACGAGCAGCCTTTTCTTTGCCCGTTGGTAGGGCCCTGCCCTGAGCTGTGGATTCCTGCAGCTTCCTCCAGGGCCTGGCCTTCCAGCCCTTCATCTGCTTTCGCATGGCTCCATCTTCCCCTGGGCTCGTCAGTGTAGCCACTGAGCACAGACAAGCTCCAGACCCATGGCCTTCTGCTGCTGTTTTAGAATCAACTCCCCAGACTGTGGCTACTGCAGAGACGGAACTCAGTGGACTTGGCACCGCAGGTCTAGAAACCAGCTGGCCAGAGACAAGGGAGACATTGTTCATCGATGTATGTGAAGTTTTGAACCTTGGAGATAAGTATCGGCCTTACTAAAGGTGATCGGATAGAAACGTTGGGAATCCCTTCTACCCAGTGTGGGTCCTGAGCCAGCAGGAGGGGTGGGAGCTGGTTAGAAGTGGGGAGTCCTACGCCTACCTTGGACCTTTGGGTCAGAATCTGGATGGAGTAGGAGTCCCCCAGGTGACTCACACATGTGCAATCCATTTGGAAACAGCCAGCCCCAAGGGCTCCCCTCGAACTATGCCTACCAAACTCTTGATTTCTCTGTCCTCTGTGCACCCTGCCCAGCGAGTGGCTCAGGGTATCTCACTGCCTGTTGCCACTCAGCTTCCTGTTGGCTCAGGAAGACATGCCCCTCTGGCACCCACCCCCGGGGTCTGCGCGGGCTGCTCCTCCCAGAAGCTCCTTCCATTGGGACGGTGCTCTAGACCAGGAGCAGTGCCGGGGCGTGCCTGCATTCGTCACACCGGCTGTGCTCTGTTGGGGCGAGGGTGTGGGAGGCCGATCTCAGCCTCTCCAGCTCACTTCTGGTTGGTGCCCTCCTGGCCTGCCCCTGCCCACCCTCTTGGGAACTTCTAGGCAAGCGTTTCATTTCTAGGGCCTAGATTTAAAATTCCACACTGCTCAGTAAGAGTTAAGATGATCATGGTCAGTATTCGTGGACAGTTTTCTGGACTCACGAGTAATAAACAACGCCAGGCAGTGCCTCTAAATCTGAGAACTGGCTGTCAGCAGACAGCAACATCCTGGCTAGTCTTCATGGAGTTCTCAGCCTGTGCGTGCTGCTGTTCCCAGCATGAGTCGTATCAGTCAACTTAACACTTCTGATAACCTGTAACAGGTACGTCGTACTATTACTGTCCCAACTTTACAGGTGAGAAAATTGAGGAACAGGGAGGGTAAGCAATTTGCCCAAAGCCACACAGCTAGGAGAACGTGGCTGAGGCAGTGTGGCTCGAGTGGGTGCATCCAGCCACCTCCTTGTCTCTGCCACGTGCTCACTGGTTACTACACGCCAAAACCAATAAAGCCTCCCACTGCAAAACAAAAGGCCCTACCAGTTGGGGACAGGGGACAAAGTATTATCTTTATGCCACAAACAAGGCCTAGGACGAACGCACAGGGAAGTATTTGGTTTGGTCCTACGATGTCCCCCAGAACTGGCTGTGTTCCTGACAAGGTGAAGTGGAGAAAAGACAGGGGAGTCCCACGGTCGCGTCACACCTGCAAGTCTTTGACCCAGACCCTCGCCCTCGAAGTGGCTCTGTGTCTTGTGCACTTGTGCATGTGTGCGGGGTTCTCTTGGGAAGGGACTGCTTGTCCTCCGCCAGCCCCTCGTGCTCTGCTTGCCTGTCCGAGGTGTCCCCGTCCTGTGCTGGGGGTTTGTGTGAGTATGGCTGCCTCCCTGATGACGCGAAGCTCATTGGCTCTTTCAGGACCTACCTGACCTGGACGATGTGGACGATCTGGGTGATTCTTTGGACAACCAGAACAAGGTCATATATCAGCTGAATTTCACTTTCATTCTTACCATTTACAGTATTATCTCCTTAACTCGTTAGGAAAATGTCCTTGTGATAACAGCACCCCACACTTCCATCTTTACCTTACCAAAAACGTAGGCTTGCTCTTGGTCCCTCCTCTGAGATTTACTGACCACCCACTGGGGCCTTCCTGCACGTCCCATGTTGCTAACTTATAACCACGCACTGAACAGTCAGCCAAAGGCATCTTCTGTCCCTCTGCTGTGTTGCTGTGTTGATCGGATGAACATCTGCTTGGATGCAGCTACCCAGACCCGGGGAATGACAGAGGCAGGGAGAGGGGGGAGTGAGCACAGGAGGTGCGTTGGGGAATGCTTCCCAGCTGCCCTGCCCTCCCACCTTCGGCATTACCACCAGCCCACGGGCCAGACCTGGCCCAGGGAGAAGTGCAGGGCCTGTCTCTGTGCATGACTTATTACCAAATGAAGGGAACAGACACAGGGCCACAGCGACAGTGGGGGACTGACAGTCAAGGAGCAAAGTCTCAGTTTATGAGCAAGGCCCGGTGAAGGGTTGTGCCAGCCGGGGTGCAGGGCTCAGGTACGTGGAGGTGCCATGCACCAGCACCAAGCGGGGAAGTGGAGATGGTGCTGAGCTCGGCCGAGGTGGGGAGCTGGCCAAAGGGCGGCGCCCTGCACTCCTGTGGGCCTTGTGTGTAGCTACAGGACATATGATACTGATGACAAGCAGAACCCACACCGTACACCTTAGTGGCTTGGTCGTGACCGTGAATGATCAAGCGCGTTGCTTCTTGTAATAGAAAACGTGCTTCCCGAAGATCAAGGTGGTCTCCAGCACAGGCGACGACAGCGACCCTGACCTGGACTACACCTCACTGCCCCTGCTGGAATCCACGTCCACAGACACCCTTTCCAACATGTGGCTGTTCAAATGTTTATATGAAATGAGACACAGTTATGGGTGAGTATGGCTGCCTCCCTGATGACGCGAAGCTCATTGGCTCTTTCAGGACCTACCTGACCTGGACGATGTGGACGATCTGGGTGATTCTTTGGACAACCAGAACAAGGTCATATATCAGCTGAATTTCACTTTCATTCTTACCATTTACAGTATTATCTCCTTAACTCGTTAGGAAAATGTCCTTGTGATAACAGCACCCCACACTTCCATCTTTACCTTACCAAAAACGTAGGCTTGCTCTTGGTCCCTCCTCTGAGATTTACTGACCACCCACTGGGGCCTTCCTGCACGTCCCATGTTGCTAACTTATAACCACGCACTGAACAGTCAGCCAAAGGCATCTTCTGTCCCTCTGCTGTGTTGCTGTGTTGATCGGATGAACATCTGCTTGGATGCAGCTACCCAGACCCGGGGAATGACAGAGGCAGGGAGAGGGGGGAGTGAGCACAGGAGGTGCGTTGGGGAATGCTTCCCAGCTGCCCTGCCCTCCCACCTTCGGCATTACCACCAGCCCACGGGCCAGACCTGGCCCAGGGAGAAGTGCAGGGCCTGTCTCTGTGCATGACTTATTACCAAATGAAGGGAACAGACACAGGGCCACAGCGACAGTGGGGGACTGACAGTCAAGGAGCAAAGTCTCAGTTTATGAGCAAGGCCCGGTGAAGGGTTGTGCCAGCCGGGGTGCAGGGCTCAGGTACGTGGAGGTGCCATGCACCAGCACCAAGCGGGGAAGTGGAGATGGTGCTGAGCTCGGCCGAGGTGGGGAGCTGGCCAAAGGGCGGCGCCCTGCACTCCTGTGGGCCTTGTGTGTAGCTACAGGACATATGATACTGATGACAAGCAGAACCCACACCGTACACCTTAGTGGCTTGGTCGTGACCGTGAATGATCAAGCGCGTTGCTTCTTGTAATAGAAAACGTGCTTCCCGAAGATCAAGGTGGTCTCCAGCACAGGCGACGACAGCGACCCTGACCTGGACTACACCTCACTGCCCCTGCTGGAATCCACGTCCACAGACACCCTTTCCAACATATTCGCAGTCTCTAAAGACACCTCAGTCAAGGCCGAGACGCCTTTTACACACATGCTTACAGAAGCAAAGAGGGAGCAGGTGAGCCGAGGTGAAGACACATGGTTTCCACGGCCACTGATTGAGGAGCTTGGCGACGAGCCCTCGGATCGCCCTCCTACACCCCCCACCTGCAACCAAGATGCCACTCCACCTGCTTCCTGTGAGCATGGGGACAGCAACCTCACAGCAGCTCCATCAGGTAAGTCACCCTGCTTCTGGGACCACAGAGCCCAGGAGCTTTGTGGGGGGCTGAAGGGCTGGCTGCCCCACCCCGGGGATGGCACAGGGTGTGGTGAGCCCCTTGAGCTCCACCCCAAGGAGCCCGCGTTCTTGGCCAGTTACGCATAAGCCAGGGGTGGTCAGTAGGTCCCAGCCCTCACTTGTGGCTCAGGCTGCACTTACCCTTCTCAGCCTGGCCCGGACACTGTCGAGCTGCTCCGGTTCTTGGGTCAGGGTGTGGGTGTGTTGTGTGTCGCATGCACGTGCATGAACAAGTGAGGTAGTCTTACGTGGGCAGAGGCATCTGCATTTTCACTCCCTTACCATTCTGGGTCCTCAGCTTCATAGACCAAGGCTTCTGGAGGAGGAAGGGGACCAGTGACACCATGGCTCATGGTGTGGGACAAGGGTGACAGCTGGCATGGCAGTCCAGGGGCTAGGATGTATTAGGTGCAAGATGTGGTTTTAAGGGGGGCCCACCAGGAGCACCAGTGCCGAGGCCTGGCTGGGTACAAGTGAAGCCACACACTAAATGCACTGGGTGGGCCTTCCCACGGGAGCTGCAACCTGGGGACGAGCCCTTGGTGCCAAGAATGACCAACTCGCCTCCTGGCCGGCCCAAGACCGGGGGCCGACTGCACGTCCCAGATGCTGAGGCCTTCTCATTTGACTCTCTAGGGTGGAGAACCAAAGAGAATGGCATACAGCCTGAGTTGGAGCCCAGGGAGTCTTCAGAGCCTGGGGCAGGGACCAGCCGGGAGGACACTGAATTTGGCTTGGACTGAACCCCAAACAGCCCCATTTACCTTCAGAGGAACCGTGACAGGGAGAATGTGGGTCCCACTCCGGCTCAGTTCCTCTTCCCCCAAGTGCTGACGCTGAGAGCACTCGAGCCCACAGGCCACCTCCCCTGCTCCTCAGCCTTGCACACGTGGGATGCTCCCTCCTTGTACTGAGCTCCTGCAACCTCCCCGTTATTTGTAGCCTAAGTTGTATAACTGTGTCTCATTTCATATAAACATTTGAACAGCCACATGTTGGAAAGGGTGTCTGTGGACGTGGATTCCAGCAGGGGCAGTGAGGTGTAGTCCAGGTCAGGGTCGCTGTCGTCGCCTGTGCTGGAGACCACCTTGATCTTCGGGAAGCACGTTTTCTATTACAAGAAGCAACGCGCTTGATCATTCACGGTCACGACCAAGCCACTAAGGTGTACGGTGTGGGTTCTGCTTGTCATCAGTATCACATGCCCTGTAGCTACACACAAGGCTCACAGGAGTGCAGGGCGCCGCCCTTTGGCCAGCTCCCCACCTCGGCCGAGCTCGGCACCGTCTCCACTTCCCCGCTTAGACTACCCACTACTAGCTCAAGGTCTACATAACTCCTTTGGTCAGCTCCCCCAAGAAGGGCCCACTTCTCTCTCAATGTGTGAAGAGAAACCCAGACTAGACCCCAGGGCCTGCATGACTGGTAATGGGCTTTCTGGAGAGCGGTCTCCCCTGAAGCTAGTCTCGGAGGACAGGGGCTTTGCATCTGACACCAAAGCTATATATGGTCACGATCCATCTGAAATGCCAACCCATGCCCAGCTGGCAGGTTTATTCAGCCCCTGAGCCCAGGTCCAGGTCCACTAGAATACCAGATCATAACAGACTCTCACACATGCCACCCAAAGCGACTCCCACTGTGGCCACGCCAAGGCAGGGTTCCAAACAAGCTAGTCTTGCTGTCCGTTGTGCATAAGCACTGGGAGGCCTGAGCAGGGGACGTGCCCAGACCACCAGCTAAGGCACAGTGGGGCCGTTTCCTGCACTGTCTCCTGGGGGAGTCCCAGCAAACGGTACTCCAGGCAGGCCTGCCAGCACCTTGCCGGTCCCCCGGACCTGCCCACGGGCAGGTGTGTAACATTGGACGGCAGATCCTGCAGTCAACCCCCACCACATGGCTCCTGACCACTCTGGGCCTCATGAAAACAGTGGCCATCGGGAGGTGGACAGCCTGCGCCCTGGACACCACCTCATTTCCTGGCTCTCCACCATGGAAGGCACAGCTGGTCCAGGTGAAGGAGGGCTCCCTGCAGTGAGAACACCCTTCCCGGAGCCCTCAGAAGCCCATGCGAGGCTTCTTCCGACGGGGCTGAGAGCCAGAGAGGACGGGCGCTCGCTGCTGAGAGTGGGTGGCCCGGGCACTAGAGGCCTGGGAAGGGGGTGTGGCAGCATGTCCCAGGGTATCCCCTTGGAGTGGCAGCTTGGCCATGTGGTCCTCGGCCTGCTGCTGGGAAGGGGTGGCTGGGATGCTGGAAGCCTGGGAGGGGGGTGTGGCAACATGTCCTGTGGTGTCCCTTCGGAGTGGCAGGTTGGCCATGTAGTCCCGAAGGGTCTGCTGGCGCTCTGAGGGGACACCCTCGGCCCATGGCTCCTGAGTCAACTCCTGGGAGGGCGGTGTTGCTGGGGGCTGAGGCCTGGCCTCAGGTGCTCGATCTGGGCTGGGAGGGGGGCTGATGGCATCCGAGAGCTCCGGGCGGCTGCTGAGTGAGGAGAAGGTGCTGGACAGCTGAGTGCGGCGCTTGGGCCGCTTGGACTGCTTCCCGGACGCCGAGGCCCTGCCCAGCTGCCTGGCCCACCAGGCAGCCCCTCGGCCTTCCCAGGCTTCCCCCAGACGCTCGGTGAGCTCATCCTCTGGACCTGACTCTGGGGCGGGAGGCGGCTCTGCCCTGGGGAGCGAGCCCAGGTCCCTCTGCCGCAGCAGCCGCCCCGCAGCCATGGCCGCCCGGAGGGCCTCAGGCACAGTCCCCTGGACGCCGTGGGGCTCCAGGCTGCCCAGCAGGTGGCGGTGGGAAAAGGTGGGTGCAGCCCACGCCCGGGGTGCCGAGGGTACCTCCATCAGGGCTGTCAGCCACTGGCTACAGAGAGCGGTGGCCTGGGGGGTCCAGGAAGCTGTGGGGGGTGTGGGTGTCTTGTCCAGTGAGGGCGCTGTCATTGTGGGGGCATGGCAGTCAGACCCAGGGTCTCTGTGCAGAAGGCTAGGGTCTGCCCGGAGGTGGAAGTGCTGGTAGAAGATGTCCCCAGCGGCTGACAGGTGGAAGATGGACAGGACTGGCGTGGAAGCTGAGGGTGGGATGGTACTGGCCAGGCCTGGAGACACAAGGACCATGGGTGACAACGCCTGGAGGGGCTCCCACCTGGCCCCCGGCCCACCTCGCCCCAGCACACCTATGGTCGGCGCACTCAGCCGCTCCTGTAGACGCTGCTGGCTCTTGGGCTCCAGCACGGGAAAAGCGGAGAGGGAGTCGGTCCTGGACGGAAGAGACTGGGGGGGCCCTGCCAGCCGGGGTGTGGAGGCCACCTCTCCTGGAAGATGGCAGAGAGTTGAGACGCTGTCTAGACCCGGCCTGGCCCTGCCCGCGGCTTCCCACCTGGCCAGCCCTTACCTGCGATGTGCAGCAGCTGTAGCTGTCCGCCCTGGCCTCCCAGCAGCAGGGGCCAAGGGCCACCACTCAGAGGTGGAGGCAGCAGCCGGGCCAGCAGGGGTGGGGAGGGCAGGCCATGATCCCACTTCAGCATGGGCACCAGGGGAAGGCGCTCGTCCACCAGGTAGAGAGAGAACTGGGGGCCGAGAGGAGCAGGCTGGCAGGGTCGAGGCTTGGACCTGGAGGCAGGCCGCTGCGGGTCGCAGTGCCCTCTCCAGGACCCTCATGGCGCTCAGGGGTGCAGACCCCAAGGGCCAGTGGCACTGCAACCAGCCCCGGGCTGAGATGTTGCCTGAGCTGCCACCACGAGTCCCAACCAACAGGGATGGCGGGCACAGCTGAGGTATGGGGGAGTCTCATTCCTGGGAACCGCCAGCTTCTCCAGAGCGGTCCCCTCATGCCCCCAACCCCGGAAGCTGTGCTGGTGACATCTGAAAACATCAGGGTCCCTGGGTGGGGAGGTGGAGAGGTGACCCTCGGCCCCATCTGCGAGGCCTCTCCTTGGCCGTGCAGCCCCAGTCACATCTTCACTGTAAAGTCGCCCCACTAAGATGTCTCCTCCCTGAGGCCTGCCCTGCTCGCCTGGATGCGCAAGCTCTGGGACCAAAGCCTCTGTAGGCCGGAGTCTCCCAGAGTTGAGACCTGGGCTCACCTGCAGGTGTCTGGACCAGCAGCTGGCCTGGTGGGGTGGGCGGGGCTCCCACTCACCTGGGTACAGACGAGGTGGAGTGTGGGAGGGAGCGACGCAGGGCCAGACTGCCCCAGGTACTGGGCGAGCAGGACGCGCTCCCCTTTCTGGCACGAAGCCTCTGCACCTCCACGGAAGAGCAGCAGCCCACAGCCCGGCTGGCCCTGTGACACACACAGGGTCAGCCCTCCCCCGGTCCCAGGTCTGTGAGGCCCGGGCCGCTGGCTCTGCAGATGCCCGTGCAGCTGGGAGCTCTCCCGGTCCCATGTGTACCTGGGTGTCGATCATCTTCACCCCAGTGCGGTCGGCCACCGTCAGCACCCGGGGGTGGGCCGTGAAGTCTGCCCAACGCCAGGGGGAGGGGTCCCGGAACACAAGCGTCTCGGGGTCCTTGTGGACGTGCTGCAGCCTTGGAGAGACGCGGTCCATGGGTGGGGGCAGGGGCTGGGCCGATGGGGTGAGAGGTTGAGGGGCCAGGTGGAAGACAGGAGTGACCTGGCCCAGTTAGGACAGGGAGTGGGGTCGTGGCTCTGTCTGTCAGGGTGCAGGGTTTCACAGGGAAGGGGCATTACCCATCCTGGGGGGTCCACAGACAGATGGCTCCCGAACGGCTACAGACGGCCAGCTCCCCGGGCAGGTGAGGGCTATGAGAACGGTGTGATTACCGACGGCCTGTCCTCCGGCCTCCTAGATCGCATCCTGGCCAGCCAGCCCGGCTCACCCCTCACCTGAGGCTGATCCCGGTGGCCCCCTTCTCCACCTGCAGCACCTGCAGAGGGGCCGGCTGCCCCTGCTTACCGACCTTCCACACGGCACAGTGGTAGTCGGAGCGGACGGCCAGCAGAGCTGTGGAGGATGGAGAGGGCTGGGCGTCAGGGGGCAGCCCACAGGCCAGCTGGGGATGGGGCGGCGTCAAAGGGCCTTACATTCTCCCTGGACGGTGCCGGTCACCACCTGCCGGACAGGTCCCCGGAGCTGGATGCATCCAGGGACCCCAAGGACTTCAGGGGTGCCAGCTGGAGTCAGAACGACCTCCTGCAAATCTGGGTCTCTTGCTAAGGATCAGCAAATAGCTGTGGTCACTGCAGGCTCCCCGGTTCCTGCCCCCAGAGGGGAGCCTGCGGGACCTCCTGCTCCTGTGCAGCAGCGAAGGATACGCAGCCTGTCCAGGGCGCCTCCAGCAGGGTAGATGAGCTGCCCGCTCTGGGGCGTCCTTCCAGGCACCCAGGCTAATGCGCCCCCGGTGAAGGCCTCGTCCAGGAGCAGCTGCTCCCACCGTGCGGCCAGCTCCTGCTGCAGCAGCTCCCCGAGGAGGCTCACCACCGACTGGCCCAGGACAGGGTCCCCGAGGATGGAGAACCGGCGCTGCCGGTGGCTGAGGTAAGCCCAGGGACACCTGGGGACAAGAGGCCAGCAGGAGGACATGGCTGTGGCAGTGCTAAGAAGGAGCATTGGGTGCCACCACAAGACGGGACAGATTTTTTTATCCACCTAGCACTCCTTCCTTTCAGGAAGCACTTCACCCTGTTCTCAGGCCCCAGGGGCAGTCATGTGACATGGACCTGGCACTCCACTGCCCCTGCCACAGTGGGCGGCTCACAGACGAGGCCAGGCAAGCCAACCAAGGTCCTTTCTGGGTTTCTGGTGTCTCAGGGAGGACACAGGCTCTGTCCTTGGAGCCACAAGCCACCTTGGTACCACTGGAAAGCAGCCTGTCTAGGACTCAGCCAGGCAGAGGGGCAAGGGGGAGAGACAGGGTCAGAGCCCTTCAAACGCTGTTTGAACACCTGGAGACAGCTGTGCCTGAAGGCCACGGACTTCAATTCCCTTTTCCCTCAGGCTAGTTGGAGTTGGGAAGCCACTGTAGAGGAACTCTGGGTCCCCTCCCTCTCCTCCACGTCCCCGTCACCAGCTAGCCTGTCCATCCCATCGTTTCTCACTGGCCACTTGCCCCCAGGGCTGGTGTCCACCGAGGTCCTGCAGCAGGCTCTTCACACTGACCACTGTCTTCTTCTTAGAGCGACTCTGTGTGGAAAGGCCATGTGAAGCGTGCGCACCCTGGGAGTCACCCCTGAAGGGAAGCAGGGGTCCCTCTGGCCACCACAGATGACTCACCCGTGCTCCCTCCAGTTTGAAGTTCTCCAGCATCAGCTTCCCCAAGGGTGCAAAGGCGATGTCCCCATGGTCCCACAGGAACTGGCTGAGCTAGGTTAGAGGGGCCGGGTCACTCACACAGCCCCTGGGACACAGCACTGTCCACGGCAGGACCACTCACCTGCTCAGAAGTATCCAGCACGACTCGGGGCCGCCTCCGGTACCGGTAACCTCCACGGAAGAGCAGGTCCTGGGCGGTCACCCCAGGGTCCCAGGGGTCTGAGGGAGAAGGAAGTTAAGGGACGGGCGGGGAAGGGCACTGAAGTGGGCGAGGTGTTCCACGTCAGGACGTACCCGAGGGAGGGCCCGGGGTGGCAGGGGCTGTGGGTCTCAGGGTGGGGGCGGGGGAGGGCAACACGCAGTCTGGCTTGAGCCCAGAGGACGGGACCCTTACCAGGGCCAGGAGGCAGCAGGGGGAGCGGCCCAGGGGTGGCTGGCTCCCACAGCAGGTCCTGGGCCGGGTGCCGAGCCCCCTTCTGGAGAGAACACAGACCCGGGAAATACGACAGTGCACACACCCGGGCTGGGTGCTCCTGCCATTACACGACACTG